CCCCCCCCCCCCCCCCCCCCCCCCCCACACACACCCCCCCCCCGACTCGCTTTCTTTATAACTGGAGTGCACCAGCAGAGGTAAGTAAATTTAACTTAATACTGTCGACTAGTTAGTTTTGTGTCGTTTTGCTGTAGTTGTATAGATTAATTTATAAATGATAAATAAAAAAATTATATAGTCCAGACCAGTATAAGCGGTACTATTGTGCAGTATGGAGAAAGGTATATAAGTGGTTTCGATAAATTAATATGAATGACAAATAATATACAGTAATAATGTAATTACCTCATCCTGTTAAAAGCGTAGCTGCTGTCAAAGGCAATTTTCATGTTTTTTATGCTTTCTCGGAAGCATAATGGGACATGATCGCCGTTTATTGACAGGTCAAGTCCCCAGTCAAAATCATGACAAGTCATATTTTTGTTAAATATTTCTGGTCCCAGTACCTACCTTCTGCTAATAAAGAAGTGGATACGTTTAAATATACGAAAATGTATTTTCTTAATCCCTGGAACTGCTGGTTCTGTGAGTTTAAACCGACTTAAATACAAACTGACCATATGTAAAATGTAAAATGCAACATATCGACTGGTAATGTATATAACACATAGTACCTGTTATTGTTATTTGTCAGTATTGGTAATTGCAGTAGTTCATTTAGAATATACGTGACGATATCACGTGTGCGCCAAGCGCAGCGTTCGCGTTTTGGGACTTGAGGAAAACGAAAGCTGCGCGTTTCCTTCTGCAGTCAGTCCCGCCTCTGGGGTTTCATACCAAGCATCCGATTGGACGATCGCTTGCCGTCAAGCGGTTCGTGCGACTCAGGGATAGGCGCAGACTTCCGAAAGTGCGCCAACTGAGCGCTCAGCAGAAATTTGTTTGTATGAGTTACATGAAAAACACGCTAGAAGTGTAGCAAGAGGACATGGCTTCAACGAGTAAAGCGCCATTACAGACAAGAAATCTGCCGTGGTAAGATCGTTAGTCACTGAAGAAAATGTGGTGCTTCTGGTGCCTTTGCAAGGGGTGGGTGTCAGTAACGGGGTGCATCCCTACTAGCTTCTCTTTGTGCTGGATTTTTCTTCATTTATTGCAGTGTTATGTCTACAGCCAAGGGCAATCCGGTAAAGATTTCTATAACTGCGAGTTAGCTGCCTGATTTAATATATTTGTAGCCAGTAACAAATATTTATTATAATCGGGCATCGGTATAAAGAGACTGCTGAACTAGTGGTGGGCGGCATTAACCAGTGCTGCCAATCACTCGGGTAGCCCAATCGTAAACTAGTATGTAACCGGGAACATAATCAACGGGGAAGGTCCAATCCCGTGATTGATAGCACAGAATAGCCCCGCCCACCTTGCTCTTCCAAGATACGCTTCATTTAGTGATCACTGGAAATGCGCAGCCACCCTAAATTTAACCGTCATTTATTATAATTCCATTTGAAAATGTTTTTTGGGGGATATAGCCTGTCAGATTTTCTAACAGGAGCTGGTTAAAAAAAAAAAAAAATCAACATGACAAAAATTCAAATATGTATCAAACAAGTTATATGAATAATATACACATCATTATTATTTATCTACTAGTTACACAATATTTTAAATAATTGTGATGAGTGGTTGCCCAGTGTTAAGCGCTGTTGCCTCATATTTCCAGAGTGGGTTTGAACCCTGCTTCTGGTCTGTGTTTACCTCCTTGAACATTCCATAGTCCAGAGACATACAATTAAGCTAATTGGTTTCTCTAAATTGCCTGCAGTATGTGAGAGAGAGTGTGTGTGCACATGCTCTGTGATGGATTGGCCTTGTGCCCTGTATGGCTTGGCACTGACTTCTGGTCTCCCTATGACCCTGTTCAGAATACGTGTTTGGAAGATGGATGGATGGTACATTGATTTATACGCAAAGCAGCTACAACCCTTCATAACACCCACCCTTAATCCTACAAGTATGTAGCAGATTGGCAGTGCTTCTTTTATGTTAAGTGAAACTATAGATATCCAATGATTTACATGTAGAGAGCAGATGTATTTATGCTTACGTGTGATAGCGGTCAGTGACTTAAACATAAGGCATTGCAGGGCTCCAAACCAACTTCTCCCACTAATAGCACTGGTGGTCCTTACTGAATATTTTAGAAGCACCTGTACAAAATGTAGCTGCACCACTTAAACTGACATGCAACGCAACACATTCATATTTTTTCCATCTTAACTGTATTACTGATAAATGGTTTGGTAATAAACATAAAATTTACAGAAATAACAAAGTCATGTTTTATTTTAAAGGAAAAAGTCACAGAGTGAAGTAGTGCTTTAAGAGAAAAATTAAGTTAAATGGGGTTTTTTGTAATTAAACATAAAGGCCAAAGTTTGTTTCATTGTCACCAAAGAGACAAGCGAGAGTATTTATGGCCTGGACACAGGTAGATGACATCCTGTGCAGAATCGTCCCCAACCCACGTTGTTATGATGACAACAGCCTTGTGTTAGCTCTCCACTCTAATCACACACTATCTCTCTCTCTCTCACACACACAGACAGAGTTATAATGTTGGGTATTGTTTAGATGTAATCAATTCCAAATCTTATTCTGATTCTCCTCATCAAATCTGGTTCATATTGATTCTTGGTTCCGGATTATAAATTTTAATAACAAAACATTGCATTTATTCTCTTTAGAGATCAACTGTTTAAAGATAAAATAACAAAGTCATAAGACTAACAGCCACACTCTGGATCTTGGATGTCAGTTTGCCATTGTTGTCAGTAATGCTTTACATTTCTGTTTAATCTGCCTAATCTGGATGGAACGCAGGTCCGATTAATAATAAATAGGTAAGTGGTACATAAGTCGGGTTTTATCCATAACGCAGCTTAATATCAGGAGGTACATGAGACCAAGTTAATGAAAAAATGTCTAAATTAATTTATGTGTGTTTACATTCCATCCACTGTAGCCGTGTGTTTAAAAAACATATAATGGCCACTTAAACCACATTTGTACATAAAGGCTGTGGTGTTGTCACAATACCAAAATTTTTGTTTCGATATTGATGCTATGTCATGGATTTTTTCTATATTTTTTAGACAAAAAAAGGGAGAAATGTGCTCAAATGTCATTATTGTGCTTTATTTCAAACAAAAATGTTTTTAATGATATTCAGGTCATTTGCAAGGAGGTGAGTTAAAATTTAAGCATATTAGTCAAAAAGGCAGGTCAAGCTTTATTTTATATGTTGGGTTGAATTAATTGCCAAGTTCGGGTCACTCATGAAAAGGAGCCGCGCATCTCTGTAAACTCTATGAATATGTATATTACCGCTACGGAGAGGCTTTTTCGTCACTCTTGATTTCTTTCATGGGTGAAATAGGGAAGTGAACAAATTAACTATCACCTGTTGGTTTTTTAATTCCTTGAGAAGGTTGGAATATTTCTCCAACAGTTGTTTGGCCATGGTGGTGTTTGACGAAGCAGGATTTCTCAGTTAGCTGGTTAAGTTAAGCCAGAAGTCATGAGAGTCCAATAGAAATGCTCCTTAACTAAACTCCTTTTAGACAGTCATGACTTCTAGCTTTAGTTAACCCAGCTAACTGGGAAATCCTGCTTCATGAACATGCTACAGGTTTCGCGTGTTGCCTCCTTTTCTGGGACGCACTTCAAAACAGTTCTTGCACAGAGGTGCTGCTGTGTTTAGGGGCTCGTCTTTTTTGCTGATTTTATAGCTGAAACATCTCCATATTTCACTTCAGGCCCCCTCTTTGTCACCGAGTTCAGGTGTTGCTGAAGCCGCTTGCAATCTCTTCAAGTCTAACCTCAAACAAAGTGGAAAAAGTGCACAGCTTTCTCTGCTGTGGCTCTGCTGTGGTTTCCTGCAATATCACACATACCACTAGTGCAACGTTACTGCTGTCAGCGTTGAGCTTAAAGAGACAGATTCCTTTTAGCCAGAACAAATAGCCATTCACATAATTAAAAGTATTGTTTTTTTTTTCTTCAAAATGCTGGTATTGTACCCTTTTCCAAACTCTAGCACCGCGTTTTTTTGAGTACCAGTTTAGCAGCAGTCAGTATCCAAACTAATGACTGACTTATTGTCTTAGTAATGGAGTATTTCTCAATTGAAGACAGTGGCTTGGGTCATATTTAACCAAAATATTTAATAGTAGTTGCCGATATGTAACTTTTGATAACGTCCAGACATTACACTTAAGTATTTAGACAGTTTTAAAAAACAACACTATTCCGGAATTTTGAAATCCCCCAAGATACAGTTTCACTAAAATGAAATACCGCTGTATGCTGTGGTGCCATTATACCATCCAAGCCTAAATATTAGGTCTCCTAATAAATCTGTTTTTGGTTCGTAGAATAATTTCAAGTGAAAACCTGTAAGTGGAGTTGTCGTGCATTAACCCTTACATAGTTGATTAAAAGTGTGCATGTAGGAATCAATAAGTGGAACCATAATTCAAATGTCTTATCAAAAATTTAAAACCGTTTCTAATTTGAAACCAGTTCTCAATATCCAACCCTACACACCAATCCTCGCCCCCTACCGATGTTTCACCTAATATACGATAGTGGTTTAAAAGAAAAAACAAATTTCAAGTCTTACTGGTGTGCCTAGTTATACTGATAAAATAGTCACAGTCTGGAGACCTGCATTGTGAAATATGTGCCAAAATAAGGAAAGTGGATGTGCTGTTCGGAGAGGTGGCTTTTGAATTCGTCCCTGGGGGCCTGGGTGGAGCGTGACAGCCTGTCACTCTGTGTTCACATGACGGCCGTTCATTGCAAGTTCATTGCATTACTCTCGCAGGGTTGAGAAGTACAGGCCACAGACGTTGGATGATCTCATCTCTCACCAAGACATCCTGAGTACAAGTAGGTAGCCCACTGCCTGTGTGACAGAGCTAAGTAACACTGGGCAGCGTGGGTAATCGGCAGCGCTGTGGGTGTGTGTTTCAGTTCAGAAGTTCATTAATGAGGACCGCTTGCCGCATCTCCTCTTCTACGGACCCCCGGGAACGGGGAAGACCTCAACTATTCTCGCTTGTGCCAAGCAGCTGTACAAGGACAAAGAGTTCAATTCCATGGTCCTGGAGGTATGCCATCTCTCACGTTGCCAGTCAAGTTTTAGCCAAATTTCCATTGGCTTACGGGTTATCGTTTACATTAAATCAGCCAGTGATCCTGCCTACCATGGGTTTCCAAATCTTATGTTTTCCACCACTAGTACACAGTCACTGCAATAAATCACTTTATCCTGATACTGTTATTTATCTCTTATTTACCATGATTGTTTAAATCAGGTGAGGCAGTTATGGACAGGTCACACAGCTCTGTTTAAACTGGGACCTCTGTACTGAAAAATGGCTAAATAAACACAACTGGGTAAATAATTACTTTACTGTAGCTGAGCCGCCTGCACTTGGATAATATATATGCATGAAGCATTTGATAAATTGGACCGGCCTTCGTTTCAAAAGCTGAACGCATCGGACGACAGGGGAATTGACGTCGTCCGAGGGCCCATCCTGAGCTTCGCCAGCACACGGACGATTTTCAAGTGAGCCATCCCCCACACTCTCCCCGTTGCCCCTGTGTGGATCTCAGTCTCTCCATTGATGAAATATGGTGTATGTGTGATTTTTTTTTTTTTTTTTTGCTCTCCTGCCTCCAGGAAAGGCTTCAAGTTGGTTATATTAGACGAGGCAGATGCCATGACCCAGGATGCACAGAACGCCCTGAGGAGAGGTAACCATCTGCCTCGCCTTTCTTCACGCTGAGCACCAAATGGCCAAGGTCTCCAATGACAAGCCTATGGTTTTCACACTGCCTGCCTGCCTGTATCCTGACTCTGCATTCAGCTCTGGCTCCAACCTCGCAGAGCGTAATTTCTGGAGGCTCCGCTACCGCCGGAGCCCTTGTTTACCTCAGTCTTTGGTTTACTGGGTTAGGTCTGTTTGCTAGTTGGCAAGATAAGTGGTCATGTGACAGGAAACACATGGAACTGAGGCTATGTTTGGAAGGATGGAGATTATTTTGCTTAATTAATTAATTGCACGCCGTCGATCCACTAAGCAGCAGTGTCACTAACTGAGGAATCCATCGGTCGGCCAAGCGTGAGTAATTGCCCCGCTGTGTTATTTGTTTGCCATGCAGTTATCGAGAAGTTTACAGAGAACACCAGGTTTTGCCTGATCTGCAATTACCTGTCCAAGATCATCCCAGCCCTGCAGTCCAGGTGCACGCGCTTCCGCTTCGGCCCGCTGTCCCGGGACCAGATCGTCCCCAGGCTGGAGTATGTCACCCAGCAGGAAAAGTATGTTACTTGGCAGGGGGTGTGGGGGTCTTCTGCCTGCCCTTCTTTCATGGCACTGAAGAACAAGCAGCAACTGAAAGTGACCTTTAAGAGTGAATTTATTGATATGTCTATAAGTAATTAGAAACATAATGCAAAACCTATTGTCAATTATAGGCATTTATTGCATCTAACAGTTGTTATAGGGGACAATTCTTGTTTTGTGTATATACTGTAGATATGTATTTATATGTACAATTTACACAAGCCAAAATATTATATATTTGATACATTAATGTATACTGTTATTTGTTTTTCTTTTGAATGTCTGGCATAAAATAAATCAAAGAATGTGATCTATATGGTAGCAAATACATACTTTTAGTATTCTGTTACTGGCAGTTTCTGGCAGAGTAACTCATAATTTCACCCCATATCATTTTTGACTGTGAGGATTCCTGTTGTCCACCTAGATTGACCTGATGAGGGCGCTAGGCTAATCATGAATCATGTCTTTGCAGCATTGACATTAGCCCAGACGGAATGAAGGCACTGGTTACGTTGTCCTCGGGAGATATGCGGAAGGCCTTAAACATCCTGCAGGTACGTGAATGTCCTGTGTCCACCCACACCCTGGCACCACCCACTCCCCACCTCACCGCCCCCCCCGGGCCGGTCTTCCACAGAGCACCAGCATGGCATACGAGAAGGTGACAGAGGACTCAGTGCACACGTGCACAGGCCATCCGCTGAAGTCGGACATCGCCAACATCCTGGACTGGGCCCTGAACAAAGACTTCACGTCGGCCTACAAGCGTATCCTTCGGGGCTGTTTGTGGGCACCTGCAGTCTGGGGGGATGCAGCCTTATCAGAGATGGCAGAAGCAAAACCTACTTCCTCAAAAAATATATTTATTATTATTGAAATGTAATATAGATATTATCAGACACATTTTTTTCCAAATCTGCATTTCTTCAACCAGATTAAAATTTTGAGTTGGCTTTTTCAAATTTCTGCCCAGCTATGATATAATAATCTGTTTTTTTCTTAGTTTTTAGTTTTAGTAAACATTTTTTGGTTTTAGATTACTTTTACTAGTAAACTCACTCTCATCGCCATGTCAAAAACAGCAAATATTATCGCTCAGCAGGAAGCCTTATGAATTTAACAGATTAAGTAACTTCAGCATCCTGCATTGTTTCTTTCTCTTTCATTTTCTCGGGCATTTTTAATCTCTTTCTTTCAGTTAACATTTTGTTGACAATCCCAGAAATGGATCCTGAAACTGATTTTTTTGAGGTAGAAATTTATTATAGTTAATTATAAATTATTAAAAAAAATAATTATTCAACATTTTCTGGTCTGTCTTACCTGTGACCATTGGCAGTTTAAATCAGTCAGTGAAGCAGCAGCTGCACGTTTGTGTCTGTATTCATATTCAGTGTGACCCCCTCTGATTGGGAGACTACGTACCCTGTAAAAAAGCAGAAAGATTCCTGAGAGATGATGCTTTGTGATGAATTGTGGGATAGTCCGCAGACTTGTCTTTGGTCTTGCTGAGCAGTGCATGGTGCAGTTTAAAGGAATCGGTGTGCTCAATGGCACTGAGGTCAGGTGTGTGTAACGAGCGTTGGGTACGCGCCCAGGGCTTTGTGCCCAGGATGGACCAGGCTGGCGTGGACGGTCTTACATCTCCGTGTGAGGTGGAGACCTTTGACTCTGTTTGACCCCTTGATTTTTGGAGGAAACACTTTATATCAAAATGTCAGATTTTCCAGTCCTGCTACTACCCAGTGTCCTACTTTAATGGACTTTGGATGTGTATAAGTGTCCATCCTTAATTTTTTTCCACAGAGATCCTACATCTCAAAACCCTCAAAGGCCTGGCATTGCAGGACATCCTGACTGAGGTCCATCTTCTTATCCACAGAGGTATTTACGCTCCCCTCTCCCTTCCCGAGTCAGACGGTATTTGGAAATGCAGTGGACACACATGCCATGTCGTTAAATGGCATCGACTCAGTGTATGCATAGAATGCCCCGGTTCAGTGGCACAATTCCCCCATGATACATTGTGTCGTGCATCCTGACATGGTCGCAGCCTCTGTCTGAAATCCTCCGCTTGATCTAAACATGAAGCAACGGTGTGAAACGGACGATTAGCTCATTGCAGTGGGCTTAGCGGAGCCCAGCGCGGGGCAATGCCCAGAAGAGACCTAAACCTGAATCTGACACCATCTGCATAGTGACGGTGTAGATGTTTTCTTGTTCCGGTTTCCCTGGAGACCCTTCTGGTTGGCATGGCAACGGGATGTTCCTACTGTAGGAGGAGTCATTTGCCAGCATTGAATTTGCAGCACGCTTTACTTCTGCTAAGTTGGGGGTGGGAAACAAAAAAAAAAGGAGGGATCTCTTGTTATGTATAACTTGTGTTAAATATTAAGCTTTATTTCTATAATTTCATTGGAATAACAGACTTGACAGTAGTCTTTGTCTGTGTATCTCCCCTGTTGAATGTCAAACGCCTGAAGCAACAGTGTTTTTTAGAGAATGGTTGAAACAAAAGCCTTACACAAAGAACGCCTTGCTGGACGGTGTTTAGATAAAACGTGGCATGATGATCCAATAGTGATTATCAACAAAGCCTCTTAGAATAACTTTGGGAAATCCCCCGTTAGACCTGAAAGCTCCTTTATGATATGCGACCACAGTGCATTTTTTTTTTCCCCCTCCAAATGCCATCCTATTAATCCAGTAACCCTCTGTCTGCGGCCAGACGGGGACCCCCTGTCCTTTGTCACAGACTCAGGCGGAAACGCTTCTGTGTACAGAGGAAAATTTTCAGACCAAAACAAAAATAGATGTGGGTTTGTTTACCGTCTGCCCGGGCAGAGCTCTTTCCAGAAAAGTGAAAGGCCACGCTTACGGCTCTGCCCGCTTACCGGCGAGCCCCCCCTCCCGTCCCGTCATGCTACACAGACCATTTGCCCAGTCAGACGGGCTGCTGACATCACTCGTGGGTTTTGGAATGACTAGCACAGCATTTTTTAGCATGTGCGCTGTCGTTCCTCCTACTACTGTTAATCACTGTGGTATGATATTATCTTTATTGTTTAAAGTTTTTGACGATTGTTTAACTTTTTATTTTGTTTTTGAACAGTGGACTTCCCACCGTCAATTCGAATAGGCTTGCTCATCAAGTTGGCGGACATTGAGTAAGTGTTTGGGGTTTTTAATTGGGTTACAACGGTCTGACCAAAATGTTAGGTAATAAATATGCAATATATATGTTGTGTATCTGAATATCTTGATACGTTAGCCTTTCGCTGAGCAAAAGTCTGCTGCTTTTAGAGCAGTGGTTGTTTTATATGAGGGGAACGCAACGTAAATTAGTCAAATTAGTGTTACAGCCACAGATGATCCAAAGCTGACCAGTGATTGCCTGCTGTTTCTTCCCCAGTAGATTCAGATACGTGCCCTGGTCGAGTCTTCTTGCTCATAATTAAGCAGGACTCATTAAAGAGTTGGGTGTTTAATCTTAATCTGCTTGATTTTCATTGAGTTGAGTTTCAGGAAATCATAGGTGAGGGTTAGAGTTTAGTGAAAGGCGTGTTTGCGTCAGCAAGCTGTGTGAACCCTTGTGCGTGGTTTCTGCTCTTTGGATTGCAGAAGCTCATTCCAAGTAGGCTGAGCTTGATTTCCCCTAAGAGGTCATAGAGTTTTTACACGTCAACCTTCATCTTAGGAGACAGACGACATATCGTCTAGTTTTGATATTGATGTCAGTATCATGTCACTCCGGGCCGAAACTCCCACCATCTTCTCAGTATCAAGCCACAACTAAGGCTCCTCAGTCTGCAGTTAAACTGGGAACAGTCTCACTTTCGGAGATTAAGTGTTTTTGTTTCATCTCTGTAAATCAGGTACCGCTTAGCATCTGGGACAAGCGAGAAGATTCAGCTGAGTTCAATGGTGGCGGCTTTCCAGGCTGTGCGAGACCTGGTGGTCAGCAGCGCTTGAGACATCTCCCCCCACGTCTTGAGCCGTGGCCCCCCAACCCAAGAGACGGCAACACTTTTGTAGTTATAAATGCTTTAATGATTTTTGAAATAAATATTTTACACTTGCTTGATCAAGGAATGTTATTTAGTAAATGTATCTAACTTGAAACGAGTATTTGTTTCACAGAGCAGTACTTTGAGCCTGTCTGTGCCACGTTAAACCGCACGCCCTTTATACAGTAGTTTGTTCATTCAACACAGCTGGTCGTCTTTATTTCTGAGTGGAAGTTAACCTTTCCTCCCAAAGAGTTAATTTATATCAGTACAGGATGTGCTGTATTTACTGGGAGATGTGATACACAATGTGAACTATTGCACCCATTCTGAGTTTTTTTTCCCTGGTCATCCATCCTGCCGTTATGTGCAGGTCAGTATTTCCTCACACCAAGACCCCCCCCCCCAAAAAAGAGATGATTATTTTTCCATCTGCGGATTGTTAACAGAATAGAGAACCAGAGGACTGAGAAACATCAGTATTATTACCTATAAATATACAGAATATTACCTGAAAGTTACTCCTAACTGAATATTGAGGGGAGAAGTTTCCAATGGATAATTTTTAATGATCCTTTTATTTATTAATCTGTTACCGATTTGATACTTGTGCACATTTTAAGCATTGAATTATTTCCTCACCCACAATACAAGCAGCTAATGCTTATAATTTTCATGAACACCAGTTCCGACTTGGATTCCAAAGAAACTTGTCAGCCCTGATTCTGGGACTTATTTTGATGAGTAATAGTAACAACAAAAAAGGTTGATATCAAGGTCATTAGTGGGATGTCAGTATTGATTTTTTTTTTTTTAATTTTGGCTCCGTAGCAGTCGTTTTGGTCCTCGGCACCGTTCACTGTGACTTATTTCTACAGCTGCGTGGCTCCAGTCCACCAGAAGAGCCCTCAGCTTAAAGCTGCAGGATCCCAAGTCCCCGTTTAGTCTAGCGGTAGCTGGTGCATGCTACAGCGAGCCTCGTGACACCCCTGCAGGTTCCTGTAGGTGAGGAAGTCCTTTATCTTGTTGGGTATGGGCAGTGCCATCACCTGGTGGGTAGAGATGTGGCACCTCAGGGCCACCCGACTCAGGTGGCTAAGACTCGGCACAAGTCGGGGCGTCCTCCAGAACTTCACGTGTCCATCTCTAGTCCTGCCAACATCAGAAAGCTCAAATGAACGCAGAAACCGAGCTCAAGCCCATTTGCTGCCATAATACATAACGCACTGCGGTTTTATTGCAAAGACCAAAGGTTTGCCGTTACCCTGTCGCGACGACGCCTCCATGTGGATGGAATGTGCAGCACAGGCCATTTGAGAAGCGAAGGAGATCAGTCTCCATGGCTGGGTTGTCCTGACCCAGTTTCCAAATCCGTATTGCCCTGGGAATCACCAAGATCAACCATGAAATAAGGCCCCCTGCATCTGATGGGATCACACGAGTCCGATCCCATCCAGCTGCACGCATGCGAGCTCCCACATCTTCCATGCCCATGCTTCTCTGTCGAGAGCAGCCACTAACATTAACATCTCTTTGGCCTGCAAATGGAGACATAACGAATGGAGCTTCACCGGCCATCATACCTGTCTTCTGTGACAAAAGCCAGATGCAGGCCCTCAGTAGAGAAACAGACTGCTCGGATTGGCGTGTTCATGATATCGTGATCACAGAACAGGCAGTCCCTGATGGATAAAAACAGCCCTGGATTAAATGTATTCTACATGTTAATGATGATGCAGACCCCAGACCTTGAGGCATCTTACCTCAACACGATGAGCCGTTCACCGGAGTGGGGGTCAAACACGTCAATTTCCCACCTTGTGGCGAAAGCTGCGATGGCCAACAGTGCCCCATCAGGCGAGAAGTCACATGACACGGGGAACATGTCGAAGCCCTGCAGGTTCTTCATGAAGGTGTAAGAGCGGAGACTCCAAAGGTACACCCTCTGGGCAGAGAGAGAGCAGCCAGAAAAAACAGTCCGATGGAGACACAGAAGCCAGGAAACAACAGATTGCCTTATTTAACAAAAAAAAAAGGATTTACCGTGTCCCCCCTACAAACGGATGCAATCATGCTAGAGTCCGGGGAGATACTGCAACTGTAAACCCAACTTGTGTGACCAGTCAGAACATGGAAGTTGTTGCCTGGCGATTTGGGGGGGGGGGGGTGAGAAGTCACCACAACATAAAACAGCTTTTATTTATGAATTCAAAAATTATTCCAACTGTTTAACAATCATTCCTTCAATTTCTCCTTCCAAAATATTACATTTTTAAACGCCCTCCAGTAGAGGGTCAGAACTGGCCTCGGAGACCCACTGCATGGCCTGGGGGGGCACTCCGGCTGGGACGCGAGTCCACTGGACAATTTAAAGACACTAAATAACCGATATTCCACATCCTTGGACAACTGTGTTACCGGAGTCTACATGAGAACACAAACCCCGACTTGGCCAGTAACTGCACCTCCCGCGTTTTTAAAAAGCTACTCAGAATTCAGAATTACCGGTAATTCACTAAAAGGAAAAAACATCTTGCAGCTTGTAGACGCCCTCAATTACATGAATCTACACCATGCTGAAGCCATACCAGTTTTTCCAGTAGGAACACTTGAGTTTTTCCCCATACACGGCCCGCTGCCGCGGGCAGGCGAGCAGGACAACAGGCCAAAGAAGAGCTCCGCCCACCTGGTTTGCTCAAGTCCCATATCCGTAACGTTTTGTCCCGAGATCCGGATACGAGCGTGAGGCTTCCGTTCGGCGTAAAAGCCAAGTCCCTTACGACCCCCTGGTGGCCTGTCAGATGGAAAAGCTGTTTTCCTGAAAAGAGAGAACACACATCCCTAACAATAACCCATCTTCCAAAACCATTTAATCTTGGCAGGCCTGAAGCAAATCCTAGGAAAACCACTGGACCTTGAATATAATCCCAGTACAGAGGACACACACTTATACACCACATACAATTCACAAGTATGTAACCACATTCCTGGACACCCATGCAGACAGATAGAGACGTGCATCTGGGTGGGGCAGTATTACCCACAACCACGGAAATGTGAGACCACTGCGCTAATCACTGACCCACTGTACTGCCAGTTAAAGTATAATGAATAAAAAGTGTAAACTCTGATGCTGGTTACCCATAGATATCTGTCAGAAGGGATGCTAAAAGGGGGGGGGGGTAATCACATTTCATTTTTGAAGGATTCATATGTATTTTTATGTTGTTGGGGATTTTAAGGGCCTTGCTCCAGAGCCCAATAGTGACATCACCGCGCTGACTCTCAGATTCTAACTCTAACCCTGATCTGCTGAGCCACCCCCAGCCCCTAAAAAATGCACCTCTATGAGAATAGCAAATTCATTATAATAGCTTCCTTGCAATTGCCTTACAGACACTGCATAACAGTATTTCCCATCTAAACAAAATGTTAAGTTTTGGCTTCTTAGTTATGCTCCTTGCAACCTGTACTGTACTACTGCATCTATGTGGGCTATCTTGAATGGCTGTCAAATGCCAACCGTGCTTAAAAATGTCTGGAATTTCTGCTATAGTTTCATAACTTTAAATGCACACCTGTGGCCACTTCCCATATTTTAATATTTCCGTTGTTAAGGCCAGTTGCCAGAAGCAGCTCGGGCGGTACGCCTTTGACATTTGTGCGGCTTGCAAACTTGGAGGTAACAGGTCCAAAGGCCAGGCTCCACACACTGTGCCCGCACTGCAGTGTCCGCTCCCTGCTCCTGGGGGCGTCCTCTGTCTCCGCGCTCCGGTGTCGCCTGCAGGTGACAGCATATTCGTACCCGTTAGGTCGGCGACACGGTAAGCGAGGGCTGGGAGGACGCACGGACGACAATGCACGACGTACTCGACGTCCTGCAGGGGCCATGGCAGGAGCTTTACGATGCCGTGTCCCAGGGACCATGCAAAGCAGCCGCCGTCCGGGGAAAACTGCACGCTCCACGTCTCGCACCCCGCGCGTCCGTCCAGCGGCGGCGGGTGCACAGGCTTCAGCTCCAAGATCAGCGCGCCTGCCGTCGCTGCATCATAATAATTTTTATTACCATAATAAATACGATCCGAACACTCAATGTGCAGACGTGCTCCTCCCCCTTTCGGCGTCCATTTCCTTACACAGACCAGCGGACGCCTTTACCTGCTCCGCGTCGCTCGTCCATTGATGAACACGGCGGCGCCTGCATCCCTGCCCTCTTCCTTCTCCCCGCACCACTCCGGCTTTTCCTCAATCCCGCAACGTGCGTTTCCGCTTCGCCCCCGACATCGGTCCGAAACACTGCCGTACGACCGACAAACGAATCCGATCGGCGCCGCCTAAGCAGAGAGACCGGGTCAGCCTGTCACTCCGGAAATGCGGCATTTAGCTAACATAACCGGCTCTGTCACGAAGTACTATGATTATATTGATGAGTGGATGCATATACAGAAAGTCAAGCTCGCCCGGATAGCGCTCTAGGATACGGTTCATTACCGGAAATAAATGTCCACCCTCTTACACAGACAGCCTTCCTCTTTTACCACCTGACATGCACACGTGTTGCTGTTGTCATGCACCGCTGTCTTCGTGTTTTGTTTTTGGGTTTTTTTCCCCCCCCAGACAATCGCTCTGTTTTATCTAATTAAAATGACGACAGGGCCTGATGCCGACCTAAGGATCGACCCTGCCTGTTTCCTGGACGGACGTTTAAGTTTAACTAAACGGCGTTTTTCCCCCGAAGAGATTTAGCATGCGTGTGTGTGCCCTGTGACGGACTGTCGTACCATTCAAGGTGCACACCTGCCTTATGCCGCCAGGTCCAAGATAAGCGGTCGGAGGACGGCGAAATGGATAGCTTTTGCACTAATTATAATTATATAGCCTATTTAGCATAAATACAGAGGATGAAAAAAGAGAATGCACAAAAGTGACGTGGAAGCTGAACGTGACATAAATTGTAGGCCTGCTGCTTATATTTACTACCAGCCAATGACCGTTCACTTACACATTACAGAAAGTAGTTGGTCATTATAATTATTATTGTTGTTAATAATACTTATATTATTATACATGTTGATTATAAATAATTTTAAAATTATAAATAACAGGATGTTTATTGACAACGTATGGATAGAAGACCATATATGGTTTTGAATTTTAAAGATGGTAGCAAAAAACACAAAAAAACGTGACAAAATAGATATTACAAAGCAAGGGTATTTACATTGTATTTAATTGCACTTAGCAACGCTAAAAAGTAAAATGAACTCAAGCCATTTTCAGATACTAACTGATCCAATGTAACTGCTGATTATTAAATATTTTGACGAAAGGCATTGCACATGCGTCTCACCCAGCAGCGGACTAACCTCTCTGGGGACCCCTAGGCTGTCACGGGTAGGGGGCCACCGAAGTGGGCCGTTGGAAATATAAAACATACTGTAAACATCAATAATATTCTAATCAAAATGTGTGATGCCAGCGCTAAAACTTACCGATGAGGGTGGGGGCAGGAATTAATGCTGTCGGTAATATTTGCTGATGGAGGGCTGGGGGTATCGCGCCAGAGGATAGATTTAAGATTATTCCCTCTTTTGCTGCGGTTAGTCCTGAATTTTTGCATACATTAGTTTAATTGTGTTCTCTCCTCGTCTGTTTACAAGTTGTCTACCACTCTAGCGAGACATCAGACAAGAGAGATGTAATGTTAGTCTTGTCTTTGTGCTGTTCCTTCTTGTTAGGCTACTTCGTGCCAGTTTGATTGACGGTAAACAGCCGGTAGAATCCAGTGTCAAAAGAAAGCTGCGAAGTCTCAAATCAGAATAGTGCATTACGGCTGGAACAAGGGCAGCTTTGTCTATCCTGAGAACTATAGCTAAAAATGCAAATAACATGCATGTTGCTATCATATAAATGACCATTTTGTGTCATATCCTTAAATGTAACTTCTAGAAATTCTGTCTTCATGGGGCCCCTGTTTTCTGGGGGGTGGGGGTCAGGAAATAGTATTCCAGGGACCACTTAGCCATAACATCAATATAAAATGTAGAGCACATTATGAAGTGTGGACTTCAAAGTTTGAGGAAAAAAAAAACACTTAGACCGTTGTGTCATATTTTGATGCATTCCATCTAAATTGTTATACAGTGGTACCTCGGTTCTCGAACTCATTAGAACTCAAATTTCTTGAAAGTCGAACAAACCAGTTTGACCTAGAATTCGATCTGAATATCAGAAGTCGAACCGTGAACGCTGACCTAATATAAATTGTATGCGCCAGGACACAGCACGTCTCTGAGCGGAAACAAAAGGTAACGCTTCAGTGTCAGCCTCACATTTGCTGTAGTAGCAGTGCTTGTTGGTGATAATGCTAATTTATTGAAAATACTGTATCAGGTAATACAGCTGTACTTTATATCATTTTGTTAGCCATTGCTCACCAAAAAGTTACGTAATAGTCGTACAAATGTTACAACCTAAAAGTTTGCTATTCATGAACAAATTAACAAATACAGCATAATAATAAAAATAAACAATGGACCGGACTCAAAGTTTTTATTGTCATGTACAGCAGTGCTTGAAGTGGGAAAAAATAAGTGCGGGAACTCTAATTTTCCCACATTTGACATTTGTGCAGTGAAAAAAAAATCAAGTCTTTAGGATGTGTTGGTTCAAAAACTATTTTAACTGAATCATTCTTCCAAGCAATAACGTATAGGCATAGGCTACTTTTTTTCTAATTCACAAATGGAATACTGAAAAACCATTAAAACAACATGAACCAGACCAGTGTGATACTTGTAGGCCTAACAATAGACTAGGGCTAAAGCTGATGCGATTGGTTGGGACTCAGTGGATGCATATGATAGGGCACTGTCGTGGCTCGTGGGTAATGTAGTCTTTTATCGATCTTGTGATATTGTCTATTCTCGGGCCACTGTCGCTGCGTCGGATCAGTTTCAGTAAGTACCGGAACGCAGAAAAAAGTGGCGGAACCCAAAAGACGAAAATACAGAAGTTCCGGAACTGCGTTCCGGCCCACTTCAAGCACTGATGTACAGACTACAATGCAATTCTTACTTGAATGCCTTCTTCACAGACTGGATGATTAACCAAATAAAGCAGCGCAACATTACAGTAACTAACAATAAATAAACCACTAATTTACGTGTACTATTAGAGCATTTATGTCATTTATTTAAACTTCATTTTACCAGGTAAATTAATTGAAAACCAGTTCTCACTGGTTTACGTGATATTCGGGAGAAATAGCAGCTTACGCATCGGAACTTCCTGGGATACAAACGTCATGCGTGTAACTAAACTCTTCAGCCAATAAGGGCAAAGGTGTGTCGTCACGGAGGCGGCTCCAGTTTGTGGAGCCGGGTGAGAGGTCGCAATGCATCTAACCGTAATGCATTGCGTCAGGATCAGAATGCGTTGCTTTAAGCCAGCGCTATAAGCAAGTCGAACGCACCCAATGACCGGACTGGGGAAACAAACTGAAACGCGGACTTAATACAGAGGACTAATTGCAACAACCAGAACTATTGGATCACATGGGGATCCCACACGAGGTTAACGAGGGGGCGTGGCACACGGAAGGAGCGGACGATCGGGGCAGGACAGGGGTAATGTTGAGATAAGATCTTTATCGTTTTGGAAGCCATTAAGAAAAAAAATTATCTTTTTGTTTTATCCTGTTCATTTTGTGTTTAAATGCTTTAAAAAAAACATATTTAGGTGTGATTTTGGGGGGCCGGGAACCAATTAATTGGTTTTCCATTATTTCTTATGGGAAAAATTCGATTAGAACTCGAACTTTTTAGGATTCGATCCGAAGTCCAGAACGGATTAAGCTCGAGAACCGAGGTACCACTGTATTCATACAGATCCAAGTACCTAAAATACTCCCATTTAACCACTCTGGTACTGTTGATTTACCTCTGACCAATGAGAACATGTATCACCAATAAGATATTCACTAACTTTAAAGGCGATTAATAGTTTTATGTCATTCACTGTAAACAAGTACATAATCATATATACAGATAAATTTACAGAATTTAAAGAAATTTTTTAAACATCTCAAATAACCCTGAATATTACAACACAAAGTACTGAATTTAAGAATGACATAACGGTTTACTATAAAAAAGACATTTACAAATTGGTAGAATCAACTGACATTCCACTGGATCACATTCATGCAGGGAATATACATTCATCGCAAAACAAGGGCTTCCATGTAAATCTGGTCAATCTGTGAATTCAGGATGTTCAGGTGAAGGTATGATGTCTTTTTCCTCTGTAGGGGTGCTGCCTTGATCCTCATTATCACCTAAGGGAACAAAAAATAGCTTTCACCATCTATAGTATTACCCCCTATTCACTATTGGCTTCAGCCGACTGCCAATTTCCAGCAAGTTCTCTGGGGGGGATGGGGGGGGGTGGACTTACTGGACAGGAAGCAGTGGACCTGCACCAGAGACGAAGGGTGGCCATTTTCAACGGTAGTTATCGTTGTGTCTGCGATGACCTCCTCATTCTCATCCTCCGACTCGACCAGGTTTAACACGTCAGTCCTGTCATCACCCATGCGACTGCAGCGAAAAGCACAAAGGCTTAGAGGGACAGTACAGCAGCTAAGGTACCTGCTAATGTCACTATTACTGCAGGTGCATGTCACCAAGAAATCTGAGGTATAAAACATTACAAACAGTAATGTGAGCACAAGAAAACATGCAGAAAGCGAGATTTACTTACATGAAGGCATTACCTGCAACAGAAAAACACAACAATTACTCACTCACTGTATTGTAAAGTTCAATTTAACACTATAAGAGTATAAAATTGAAGTATCTTAAATTACAGATCAATGCTAACACGCTTCTCCGGTTGTATCAGTCAAAACCTTTACACTACCTGTATAAAGATTATGATGAGCAAACATTTAAATGAAAAGTTTTACCCAGGCAAATCCTGTCACGGTGGCGGTAGGCTGAAAGACCAATGACAATCCCTGCTCCAAAAATTAAGAATGCTAGGAACGCCCCAATTATTCCACCTGTGTTCCTTGCAGAAGCTGTAAAAAAAGAGATCTAATTAAATAAAATGAAGGCAGTTAGGTTAAGTGGCATCTCTAACTTATCCATAGCATACAATTGCATGTGTGTGTGTATGTGTGTGCGTGCCCTGTGATGGACTGGCATCCCATACAGGGTGTATTCCAGCTTCAGACACACACACAAAGATATTAGCACATATATACATATACATACATCAGGGGCGCCGCCAGAAATCTTGGGCCCCATGAAAGATTAGAATTTTGCCCCCCCCCCCTTTTTGCGAAAAGGTAAAGCCCCTAACAGGGCCCCATGTCAGTGCTGGGCCCCTAGAATCGTTCTAACCTTTCCCCCCCTGGCGGCGCCCCTGACATACATACATACATACACACTGAACTCCTGCATGTTCAATACCTGTGTACACTTCGTGTGTGTGTGTGTGTGTGTGTGTATGCGGGGGGGTGGTAAATATAGGAGGTTCACTTCATCCAAGGAGAGCAGAGTTAGTGGGCAGATTGCTGGAGGTTTGGATGCAGTCACATTTTAAATATTTAACACGGTACACATTGTTCCGCCTGGATGTTTGCCCTTGTGGTTCTAGCGGCAGAGTTCTGGAAGAGCCCCTGGTCATGATGCGTGACCTGAGAGCTGGGGCCCCCCAAACATTCACCCTGCACCTATGCATGCTGCCAGCAGCCCCTAGAAATAGCACATCGCATCATTCCTGGGGCCATTTGCATGTTAATCTCTCAAGATCCAGAATTTTCATTCCTCCAGTTCCTCTTGAGGTACAATAACTTTATCATGTTACAGTGGTTCTTACTCTCGCCAGTCTGTATCCCATCTACTTCACATACTCTGAATAATAACAGCAAGGTGTTTCAGTAATGCTTCGTTAGGGTGACCGTCTAAATGATCTTTAAAAGCGTCACTATGTGGCAGAGGTTCATATAGGCGAGGAAAGAGGCTAAATTCTTTTAAATCTGTTGCTGCAGCCTTTACATTCTTTCACTGTGCATAGAGGGGGAGATAATTAATATATAGATTTGTATATGAAAACATACATAAAGTACTGAGTCAGTGTCATGTCTGTCAACCTATTTACATGTGGATGGGTGACCACTGGCAGACTACTGATCTTATCAGCTATTTATTCCCTTCTCCTGGCAAAAATAATTGTTTCACAAGAAAAAACCAGCTGGATAGCATTCCTGAGTTGCCTGCTTTAGTCAGAATACCCACCATTCAAGTAATTTAATCTGAGAACCTGTGACATAAAACTGTACTCACTCACTCACTCACTCACTCACTCACTCACTCACTCACACACACACACACACACACAACCGGAAGCATACGCTGATGGCAGAAATCCATTCTACTCACACTTGACGGTTAGGATGATCTCTAATTCTATATCCTGGATGGGATTTTCACTCCTACAGAAGTAAGCTCCTTCATCCTGTTGGGTGACGTTCACAATCGTGAGCCGGAGCATGGGACCCGCCTTACTGATGATATGTCTACTGCTGGGGAGGATGACATCTTCCTTGAGTGTCCTTCTCCAGGTGGTTTTAGCTTCAGGGACAGATTTTGCCTCTTCACATGATAATGTGATGTTGTCACCTTCCACTGCGGTCACTAGGGGGTCTCCTTCAGGATATGGTGACCCTGCAACAGGACAACAGGAAGGGCAGTTTAATGAGCTCCAAACCGGATAGACATATTCCACAATCAAATAACCCCTGATTCAAGATGAACAGATGCAATTAAAGCTTTTAGGAGGAATGAACATGCAGATCTATTCCCAAGACTTGCTTCTAGGAAATCTCTCTGCCAGTAGAAATTTGCCAGATACTTACGTAGGGTGATGCTGCAAGGGTCTGTCTTCAAGTCAAGCGGCTGGTAATAATTGTAGCATATCAGAGTCTGTCCATCATACAGCAATGTCCGGTTTAACACCTCCTCCAAGGTGTCAGTGTTTTTAGAAACATTCAGCACAGGTTTATTGGTTGTCTGGTCACCCAACACCTCTGTCCAGTGCAGCATGGGTGCAGGGTAACCTCCAGGCCAGCTGCAGTCCAAGAGGAGTTCGGTAGAATCATTTCCTGTCTTACTGTAGCATTTTGGATGTCCATCAGGAGCGCCTAGAGAAAAGGCAGCCAGAGTGAAGGAAATCTGATCAAATTGATGGAAGGCAAAGTAACTGAAAGTCAAGAAAATAAGTTGGTTCATAAATGCAACTAAAGCCCAACTGATTCTGATTAGGCTATTGGCTGTGGTGTTTTTTAAAAGGGTGCATCGTAACATAGGGCTGCCTCTGTTGAGTCTGTCAGTGCCTGTGATTTCTGCATGTTTACAAAAGTGATTGATTTCAGTAAACCTACCCAGACCCAAATACCCCTGACATTCTTGGTTAAACTCTTCACCCCCATATTCCACATGCTCCTAAGTTAAATGCATGCTTCTGTTACCTATCTGTGGTACCTACGGTATACAAACAGCTGGGTTTTGTTGGTAACTGTAACATTGGAAACCAGGTTTCGGGCCACACAGTGGTATAGCCCTTGATTGGTTGGCTGGATGTTGTGCAGGTGAAATTCAAGCGACGAGTCGGGGCTGGAAGTCAAGGTTTTGACATCCTCAAAGATCAAGGAGAGGTTCTGTGATGGGAATGAGTTGCTGGAGCACCTGATGGTTACATTAGAACCACTGTTGACGAAGAAGGTGTCATTGGTGAGAGCTGTAGTGGGCCCGATATCCATCACCACCTCGACTGGACCACCTGGAACACCAGAATGCATCAACCAGCCAAGAAGGACATGTGGGGATCCCCTAAAAAGCGCAAGGTAATGCTCAAGATCTAGATCTTTACAAAATGCATTTCCATTCCTTTAAAAAAAACACACAGGAATAAGTGAGACATGTTCTCTCAATGTAATCAGACAGGGAGCTACAGGCAAGTAGAAATATGCTGGACTATCCACAAAAACGAACACCTCTTCATCATGGGAAGTACCTTTGTGACTGCCATGAAAATGCAATGTAAACAACAATACTTAGTTACTTAATAAATCATGCTAGAAATAGTTTAAATCTTAAAAAAGATATCTAAAAAAGTTGCAGCGATGTATCCTCACAACTAATTTCTAAAATCAGTGAAATAACAAAATTGAATTTTGTTATTTTATCAGAAGCACTGGAGATGTTTTAAGTACTGGGACAGTACTGAAAGTGTTTAACAAGGGCTTTTCAAAGCACTTCTGTAATGACTTAGCCATCCAGCAAAACCAGTTTGAATGTGGTTTCCCTCCTCCCCAAGAAAAATTACAAATGTCAGTTCACAGCACCAAGAGAGAGAAAACATTCAGTTCAACTTACTAACTATCAATAGCTGAATATCTTCTAGGACTGTAAAATATTGTCGTGAAGTATTGCAGTAGTACAGGCCCTGATCCGTTTCATTCAGGCCGGTGATTGTCAGGTGCTGGCGGTCTGATATAGAAAAGCGCTTGTCTTCCGCCATGGTGATGTACGATGACTGGTTACGACTCGCTACAATTTTACCCTCCTTGAACCACGACGTCGAGAATAAAGTCTGATTCTCCGCAGAACCAACGCAGGGCAGCGTGACGGTGCCTCCCAGCGTCCCCAGCACCTTCTCCGTAGTCTGCCCATCAGACGCGCCTGTGCAAGCGTAATTATTTCGCAATAATAATAATAAAAGATACACCAGAAAACGTTGTCAAAAAAACCCACCGCAACAGATAATAAATAGAGAGAATGACATCCTATTGAAAAAATGTATATTCATTCATATATAAGTATATTATGTAAAAGTACTAGAAGGGAAAATTCGGAAACAATCTACTAAACGATATTAAAAATAAAAAGTAATAAAATTGAACCATAAAAATAAACCGTACAATAAACTATATAATCTACAAACATTATACGATTTATATATATAGATCTTACCTGTTAAAGGCAAAAACATAAAGATAAGAACTACTTTTGGTAATCTTGTCATGACTCCAAATTGTACGGAAGTTTTCCCATTCACAAAACCAATACAGGACAAAAGGCCAGTAATATTACGCCCAATTTGTTTCATACTGTGTTATGGAAACATTAAACTATTTAAACATTATAACTAAACATAATCTGAAAAGGGGAAACCAAACTTTAATGAAAGTCTATACCCGGTGGAAGGTGCTGGTAGCGAGAACAGTCTATTTCAGTTCTCTAACAGGTGCGGAACCTGCACACGCATGTACCTGTTTTATTTGCGCAGGTTCTTCCGGTAACGTTCTTTTTATTAGGCCACACCTTGTGCTCTTAAAGGTGCAGCAGCTGAGAAATCCACCCCCCGGCTGAAGCGCGGTGACCTTGGTTCACACTCACGTAGCTCCTCAGGAACAAACACCAGAGAGCTCTGATTTAACTCACCTTTCCAATCATTTTTTTCTATGAAATCTTTTTTTTTTTGGTTGTTTGCACAACTTTAAAAATACTATAACATTCAACATGGAACAGTGTTGGGATATTTATTTTTCAGGTTCATATAGGTCAAGTGTAAAACCAGTCAGGGGCACCTGGTGTGCTTGTATCCAAAGCAATAGCAGCTGGACTTGTGTAGTTTGTTTACCCATTTGATGAAGCCATAACTGTAGCTATCTTGGAATCATATCAATACCTGGGGGTCCATCTATGCAGCAGACTGGATTGGATAGACAATCCGGCAGCTGTTTCTATGAAAATCTAAAGGCTCAGGTAATTCCATGTGAGTAGGTGGCTGCCACCAGTTCTACCAGTCTGTAGCCAGCATGTTCTCCTACGCTGTGGTCTGCAGGTGGAGCAATGCCATCCTAATTCTAGGGTAGATTATATTCATGGTTTACAGGACACTGATTTATTTATTTTATTGCAAAGCAAGGTGCTTCCAATAATAAATGGACTCAGCTAAGTTTGTTCAGCAATTTTCAGTGTTGTTATTTGTCAGTGAGTGAGTCAATCATGTTTGTGGCTGTCGATTGGTTGACTGATCAGATTGGTACAATGAGTTATGAATGTCGATTAAGTGGCTACACCCTCCTAAATGTATCAGTCTCTCTCTCTTTTTTTTTTTTTTTACAAAACATCAGTATGTCTAGTAGTCTAGAGTCTCTAGACATTAATCCCAGTTGCTCTTGCTGTTAGCTGTAGCAATGACAGTGAAGGTGGACATCGGACCTGCGGCAGCCACAAGCATTGCACCTCCTGCAAGCATTATCACAGAAGATGTAGCAGCATGCATCGGAATAGCAATGCAAGCATCGTTTTTTTCTTCTCATATTAGAAGCTGTGCATTGTTCCAATATTGCCGTTTCTGCTGCTGTCAAACATTCAATTCCTGCTGCTATTTATTTTCAATCATACAACTTCTGCTGCTTCAAGGCATCTGTAGATGTCTACTTTTGTACATATAAGTATATCACGTATGGTTATTTTATATTCTTCATTTTTAGTACAGTTTTTATTGTAAGATTGTATAGTCATGCCACATTTACTCCTCTTGTACCATCCTTGGCTGCTGTAACAATGCAAATTTCCCAACTGTGGGATCAATACAGGCTTATCTTATCTTATCTTATCTTATCTTACCTTGAAAAGATATTTCGGCAAGTCTCTCTTTAATTGCAAGTTAAGTCATAGAAAATATCTACCCAGACTATGGCCTTGTTATTCTCCCTCTGCAGGTGGTGTATTTTGTTTTGCATGTATAATATTTGGGAACATGAACATCATGAACATCAATTCCATTTTGTAAAATTCAGTTTAATGATTGTTAACATTCAAATGATTGAATTGCTGAACATGACGGCAGTGAAACACACCGAAAAGCAATGATTGCTTACATTAACCAAGCAGCACACAGTGGAGAAACTGATTCTGAGCTATAAAAGTAATTTGAGATTGAACGTGAATATTGAATCTTGTAAGATTTGTGAAGGGTAGTTGAAGTAGTTCAATTTCTGGGCAGAGAAGTGACTATATATACACTCACCTAAAGGATTATTAGGAACACCATACTAATACGGTGTTTGACCCCCTTTCGCCTTCAGAACTGCCTTAATTCTACGTGGCATTGATTCAACAAGGTGCTGAAAGCATTCTTTAGAAATGTTGGCCCATATTGATAGGATAGCATCTTGCAGTTGATGGAGATTTGTGGGATGCACATCCAGGGCACGAAGCTCCCGTTCCACCACATCCCAAAGATGCTCTATTGGGTTGAGATCTGGTGACTGTGGGGGCCATTTTAGTACAGTGAACTCATTGTCATGTTCAAGAAACCAATTTGAAATGATTCGTGCTTTGTGACATGGTGCATTATCCTGCTGGAAGTAGCCCTCAGAGGATGGGTACATGGTGGTCATAAAGGGATGGACATGGTCAGAAACAATGCTCAGGTAGGCCGTGGCATTTAAACGATGCCCAATTGGCACTAAGGGGCCTAAAGTGTGCCAAGAAAACATCCCCCACACCATTACACCACCACCACCAGCCTGCACAGTGGTAACAAGGCATGATGGATCCATGTTCTCATTCTGTTTACGCCAAATTCTGACTCTACCATTTGAATGTCTCAACAGAAATCGAGACTCATCAGACCAGGCAACATTTTTCCAGTCTTCAACTGTCCAATTTTGGTGAGCTCGTGCAAATTGTAGCCTCTTTTTCCTATTTGTAGTGGAGATGAGTGGTACCCGGTGGGGTTTTCTGCTAGTCCATCCGCTTCAAGGTTGTAACGAATGGTTATTTCAGTCAAAGTTGCTCTTCTATCAGCTTGAATCAGTCGGCTCATTCTCCTCTGACCTCTAGCATCAACAAGGCATTTTCGCCCACAGGACTGCCGCATACTGGATGTTTTTCCCTTTGCACACCATTCTTTGTAAACCCTAGAAATGGTTGTGCGTGAAAATCCCAGTAACTGAGCAGATTGTGAAATACTCAGACCGGCCCGTCTGGCACCAACAACCATCCCACGCTCAAAATTGCTTAAATCACCTTTCTTTCCCATTCTGACATTCAGTTTGGAGTTCAGGAGATTGTCTTGACCAGGACCACACCCCTAAATGCATTGAAGCAACTGCCATGTGATTGGTTGATTAGATAATTGCATTAATGAGAAATTGAACAGGTGTTCCTAATAATCCTTTAGGTGAGTGTAGACACGCTATGTAAGGACAAAAGTATTGGGACACCTGGCCATTACACCTACAGGAACTTTTATTTCATCCCATTCTAAATCCATAGAGATCAATATAAAGTTGGTCCCTCCTTTGCAGGTATAACAGCTGCCGCTCTTCAGGGAAGGCGTCCCACAAGTTTTAGGAGTCTGTGGGAATTTTTACCCATTTACCCAGAAGAACATTTGTGAGTTAAGGCACTGTTGTTGGACATGAAGGCCTGGCAGACAATCTCTGTTCTAGTTCACCCTAAAGGTTTTTGATGGGGTTGAGGTCAGGGCTCTGTTTGGGCCAGTCAAGTTCTTCTACACCAAAGTCACTCAACCATGTCTCTATGGACCTTATTTTGTGCACTGGGGCATAGTCATGCTGGAACAGAAAAGGGTCTTTCCCAAACTGTTCTCACAAAGTTGGAAGCATAGAATTGTCCAAATTGTCTTGGTATGCTGAAGCATTAAGAGTCCCCTTCAGTGGAACTAAGGGGCCAAGTCCAGACTTTACAGTTGGCACAGTGCAGTCAGGCAAGTAAGGTTCTCCTGGCATCCACCAAACCCCGACTCTTCCATCAGACTGCCAGACAGAGAAGCATGATTCATCACTCCACAGGACATGTTTCCACTACTCCAGAGTGCGGTGGCAGTGTGCTTTACACCACTCCATCCAACGTATTGCAAGGGTTTTTGTGCTGGGGTTAATACCCTTGGAACCCTGCAGTAATTGAGTCAACAGCGCAATGGCGACTTTTACGCGCTATGCTCCTCTATTAATTTGTGTGGTCTGTTACTTCATGGCTGAATTTCTATTGTTCCTAAATAATTCCACTTTGCAATAGTACCACTTACAGTTGACCATGGAATGTCTAGCAGGGAAAAAATTTCATGAACTGACTTAGGAGGTATCCTATAACAGTACCTTACTTGAGTTCATTGAACTCTTCAGAACAACCCATTCTTTCACAAATGTTTGTAAACCAGACTACATGGCTAGGTGCTTGATATTATACCGTTGTGGTAATGGGTCTAAATGAAATACCCGAATTCAATGATTATGAGGGGTGTCGCAATACTTTTGTCCATGTAGTTTATATCTACACAAGGGGTTGGGCAATGAAACTGAAACACTGGACAATAGTGTTTGAGGTTTCACACCTACATATGCGTGGCCTGGTGGCCAATCTTCACTGATTGTAGATTACATCAGTAAGAGCAGAGTGTGAAGATTGAATTAGCAGAGCAATAGTACAGCTGTACATAAAATATTGCAATATACACAACATAATGGGAGATATATCAGACTTCAAAAGAGGACAAATTGTTGGTGTGATTCTCACTGTGACTGGGACAGTAAGTCTTTGTGGTGTATCGAGAGCCGGGTAATGTCAGCATACCACCACAAAGGACAGACCACATCCAACAGGAGTAACTGTGGATGCAAGAGGAAGTCGTCTGAAAGGGATGTCTGTGTACTAACCCAGATGGTATCAAAAAAACATAAAACCACAGCTGCCCAACTCACTGAGGAATTAAATGCGCAACTCGACTCTCCTGTTTGCACCAAAACTTTGTTGGGAGCTCCACAGGGTCAATATTCATGGTCGGGCTGCTATAGCCAAACCTTTGGTGAATCGTGCCAATGCCAAACATTGGTTTCAATGGTGCCAGCAGTGCAAATCATAGGCTGTGGACAATGCAAAACATGTTTTGTTCTCTGATGAGTCCACTTTAACTGTCCTTCCCATATCTGAAAGAGTTATGGTGCGGAGAAGCCCCCAAGAGGCTTAGCACCTGGACTGTTGCATACGCAGCAAGACTGGTGACAGAGTGGTTTGATGAACATGAAAGTGAAATTGAACATCTATAAATGATCACACAGTCACCAGATTTTAATATTATTGAGCCACTTTGAGGTGTTCTGGAGGAGTGAGTCAGGAAACATTTTCCTCCACCAGCATTACACAGCGATCTGTCCACTGTTCTGCAAGAGGAACGGCTCAAAATCCCTCTGGCCACCGTACAGCACTTGAATCTATCATACTCAAGACAAACTGATACTTTAAAACGAGGCCTTACACCATAGTAATAAATTGCTATAGTGTAAAAACCATGTGTTTCAATGTCATTGTCCAACATTGGAATATATTTACAGGTTTATGTACAAACATGGGTGGCATGGTGACGCAGTGGTTAGCGCTGCTGCCTCCCAGCAAGAAGGTCCCGGGTTTATTCCCAGGGTCGGGCGTAGGTCCTTCCTGTGTGCAGTTTGCACGCTCTCCCCATGTTTGCGTGGGTTTCTGCTGGGGGCTCCGGTTTCCTCCCACAGTCTAAAAGTGTGCAGGGTAGGTTGATTGGTGAGTCTAAATTGGCCCTGTGAGTGTGTGCATCCTGCAGTGTGTTGGCGACTGCCCAGGGTTGGTTCCTGCCTGTGCCCATTGTTCCCAGGATAGTCTCCAGCCCCCCCGTGACCCCAGTTGGGATTAAGCGGTTACGGTGATGGATGGATGTACACATATAAACCAGGGTTGCCAACTCTCATGCGTGACACTCACGCTTTCAGACTCTCTCACTCACGCAAGAAATCCTATGGCAAATCTATATTATTCCAATACAATCTTAAAACCAATCAATAGCGTTAGGGCAGTTTGCAAACCCTACAGACTTTTTACAAGGTAATATTTCTCTTACATACTGTACATGTAAATATGTGTGCAGACTTGTCTCAAATTGAGAATCCCTGGCCAGCCAGCTGACCAAAGCTGGCAAACCTAATAAGCCCAAAACCATTTGTTTTTGTGTGTCAGCATTTGCATCTACATCCAATAAGCTGTAATTCAAGTAACGGTTTCTTTCTTTTTTTTTTTTAACCATTGCTTGAGGTTTACCAATGAAATCCATCCACAGGGCTGCGGGGTATGGGCAATTTAACTGCATGTTTTGGACTGAAAACAGGCAGAGAATATACATGTGGTAATCGCCAGGCCTAGCACTGCTTCCTGCTTAAACCACCATGATGTCCTGGAAGAATTCCAGTACATTAAATTCAATCAATGTCTTGAAAGTGTCCTTTCACAACATACTTACCCAAACCACTTAACAGTTTTAGCGACACATTTCATAACAAGCCACTCAAACCACAATAAGTGGTATGTTGGTTGAGGAAAAAACAAGAACAAAGTGATTCCCAGCACCACAGATAAATGCCCTCACTACACAAACGGCGTTCTTAACATAATTCATTGACATAATTACATCTATTCATCAGGTCAGACCCATTAGCAATCAGCTCCTGACCACACAAGAGCAGGTAAACGTGAGAACAAGAAATTAAACAACCTGTCCAATCTTATGCAATCACAATCTTAAGATCTGAACCTCACACTGATTCACTATTTTCATAACTTTCATTTTATTTGACAATTGACATATATTCACTTTATGATCATAAGATATTTTAATCATTCCATCTTTAAACAGCAGTTTATTGTGTATTATTTTCTCCTTAAAAATATTTAATCAAAATGGGTTAAATGTAATTTTGTTTATTGTATATAACACCACAGGTATTGCTGTGTCCTGGTGTCCTATTAATAAATATAACTTTATAATTCCCAATTGTATGATTTTTTAGTTCATTTAATATCACTCCTGGGACAGACAATTGCAATCCACTTGTAACAAGTAAGTTTTATCCTCCAGGGCTACTCTGTCGCTACTGCTGTAATTCTGCTGGGAAAAAATACTTTAAACTATTTCCTGTCGTAGATTTTGTATCACATCCAGCTTTTAATACGAAGAGAATAAGTATTGAGGGGTTGATTCTAAAAGAATGCAGCTAACTGAAACAGAAACTGACCAGCGTGCCGGTGTTCTGTCATAAAATACTACCTATCGAGACGTGCTATTGAGCCTTTCTGCGCATGTGCAGTTCCACCGTCTTGGGTTTAGTGTTAGCTTTTAGGGGTTAGGGTTAAGGTAAGGGGGGTTAGGGTTAGGGTTAGGGTAAGAGTTAGGGTTAGGGCTATCGATTAGCACTACGGTAGCATTTTTCGACAAGGCAGCATATATCGACAGAACAAAATACCAAGAGAAGGGGGGGGGGGGACACCCCGAAGGGGTTATAAAAGGTCAGAGTCAATAAGTATTGATGAACTTCCTATTGTACATGCTGAATGTATGTCAGAGTGCGGCTCCCAGATAGATCTGTTGAAAGGAATAAACAGGTGACTTGCAACTACTCCGCGTTTCTGGTGTGAATCTCTTCTCATCAACGGACCTGGAGGAGCGTGGCTCCAACAGTATGCATTGAAACACACGTAAAATATGTACCATGCATGACAGCTCCAACCTGTCCCAGAACACACAGGGACAAGCGGGTGGGATGAAACAAAGGAAAACTTTAGAAATATTTTGCCACCGCGTTAATTTACTCAGTGTACATTTTGTGAGAAAACAGCGAACATAAGAAAACGTTTTTGAAAGCTTATCTCCCTTCGCGATGCGCCGTTACGGCATGGGAATTTGTATTTACTGTAGCACTTGGCCTACAGTATATGCAGTATCTGAATCTACAGACCTGACAGCGCACGTGTAGGTGGGGTTTGTCGCCCCTATTATCCAATCATAAATAGAAGCACAGAGAGGACCAAGCGCTGATTGGTCCCTACAGTTGCCAGTCAATGGCAAGCTGACTATGTCTATATAAAGAACGGGACAAGGGTTTTTCGCTGCAGCTGTCGTTTGGTTTTGTGTTGAAGTTGGGTGCTGTTGTACTACATATTTCATACAATGCCTCTGGACATGAGTCAGTGGACTGGATCCCTCGCACTCAACGAGGTGGAGGAGAAGCCTGCGCATCCTTTGGTTGTGAAATATGGAACCGTTGAAATTGATGAGCTGGGCAAAGTCCTGACACCCACTCAGGTTGTACGGCAATATACGCAATATGCGATGCGCTTTTTGGTATGCAGAATGCGATTTGAGTCCATTTCCGACTTGTATGTGTGCAGTTTATGATACTTCTGTAGGTAAAAATGCATTTTGTAACATAACGGCGTTCGAAAAAATTGATTTGTAGTTTTAACAAGGGTTTTAAAATTGCACCGAATATTCTGGGCGCAAAGCGGGCCTGCTGTACACTAACACGTTGCATTAGTATGTCGTTATATTATCGATGGCTAAGTGGTCGATCTCTTCTTAAAGCATGTGCCACATTAGTGAAGCATTACTTTATGCATCGCTATATGGCGTGCTGGTCGGTGCTTTTGACTGTATTCCGCTCGTATGCAATGATCTTACGTTTAGGTACAGAACCGGCCCACGGCGATCGAATGGGAGGGTTGCGATCCCAGTAAGCTTTACACATTGGCTTTGACCGATCCGGATGCCCCTAGCAGAAAAGACCCCAAGTTCCGGTGGGTATTTTGTAGTGCCGATATGTAGAACAGCCATTTTTAAAATGCAGTATGTAGGACTTTGTATTGTAGGGCATCTGTAGGGGTGGGTATGAGAGAGAACTGAATCTCGTTGTGTGTTTCCAAGTGAATGGCATCACTTTCTGGTGGTGAACATAAAAGGAAATGACATCGGCAGTGGCTGTGTGATGTCTGACTACGTTGGGTCTGGCCCCCCAAAAGGAACTGGTAAGGGATATTTTAACTCATAAGAAAATGATCACTTCTTAAAAGCTAGCAAGAAATAACTCTCTTGCATCAAAGCATAACTGATGATATGCACATTGAGAGATGTGGGAAAACCACCTGGGGGGTGTTGGGACATCAGTTGTCTCGTTACCGACAAACCTCACTTACCCCGCTCCAACATGGTGACGTTCTCTGCTGCATCCGGTAGGTCTGCACCGCTACGTGTGGCTCGTGTATGAACAGCAAGGACAGGTGTCCTGCGCCGAGCCGGTCCTTACCAACCGATGCGGAGACCACCGAGGGAAATTCAAGATCTCAGATTTCCGCACGAAGTACGACCTGGGTACCCCGGTAGCTGGAAACTGCTACCAAGCGGAGTGGGACAATTATGTGCCCAAACTGTACCAACAGCTCGCCGGAAAGTAAACCAGCAAAAAACACACAACTCATAGTTAATACTTTAGAAATCAGCTTCGCTGAAGAAGTGAAACTGGAAAAGTTATCAAGAGCTTTGCTCTTTCCGTGTTCCGTGCACCTTAACACCAGGTTAGTAAATACTGACAAATTCTTGACTGGTTGGTTCCATTGACTGCAATAAACTGGCCCAACTGAAACTTGTGTTGCCGTGTTTGCCTTTTTCAAAGCATGAAAAACCAGCTTTTTGTTGTCGCGCTGGAGTACTTGCTGTAAACAGCCCGAAGGTTGAATGTTGATTTACACAAATATTTTTGGTATATATATTGCGTAGAGCAGAAAGAGTTGGCATTTCAGGCACATGAAATGACTTAACATGGCCAAATGTGTTAAATTGTATATTGTATTTTGGTGTAGCACTGTTTGAAATATGAGAATCTCCCTAGGACTGTATGGGCTGTTTTTCATATTCCTACCTTTCAGCCATCAGATTTGAAACTGTTGAATGGATGTACTGTAAAATTACACCTATAGGGTAAATGTTCAATTGCCTTTAACAGTTATAACTTTTACATCGTTATGAAAACAATCTGTATGCCTTGTGTGCATGAAAAGAATGTGTCTGTCGACTGTCACTGAAACAGATTATTAATATTAGCTTTCAGGAGAAGCAAGGATGAATTCTGTGTTGCACTTGTCATAACATAAAGGTATTAAGGAACATGTGATGAGCACTTTTATTTACAAATATAATTCAAAGCTCTGACAGATTCATGCCGCTCAACTTTGAAAAAAAATTAAAGTGCATGCAATAAAGCATTTTTTGATTTGTCATAAGAAAAATTCACAGCTTAAAGGTGGTTTAAGCGAGAACAATCTAAACAGAAATTCAAACAAGATCCCACTGATTAAACTACAAAATACTGAACAATGAGGGGAGAATCATTGCTAAAAAATTCATTTGAGGACCAGTTAAAATACAATATGAAAATAATTAAAAGCTCTCCATAAATCCTTCTATACACAAAATACACAACCATCCCAATCCACGTTATGCATAGGTGTTGGGACTTGTATTCACATTGTCGCCATAGAAAATGATTCCAATACAGTTAAATGCCACACACAGGGCGCGTTTGGTAAGTCACATTAAATCCCAAAGTAACGTACTAGACGTAGACTACTCATATGTACATCACGGCCTTTGTGTAAGTACCAAATCTTCTTATCCTGATTTATAAATTCCAGAGAGGGGAGGGCAGTTTTGAAGGTACAGCTGCCCACGAGATGGAAAAATCTCCCCCTTATGCTAAAAAAAAAAATCATCTTTTAAGTACAGCCATTAACCAATGTTTATCCAAATTGTTTTACTTTTTTGCTTTGCTTTCAGCTTTACCAATGAATTTATTGCACAAAAAAAAACCCATCAACACTGCGACATTTGTTTTTAAAAGACGACCTATAGAGTAAATCCAGCATATTATCATGTGACTTGACGGGAGACCCTTGGTACTTAAGGGCAGCACAGGCACTAGTTCGTAAGTGACATCAGTAGCAAGGAGCCACATATTAAGGGAGGTACAGCAGCCGTGGCAAAGCTTTTCTCATCTATAGTCGTCCTTGGGATAGTCCAGAATGCTGAGGTTGCTGAAGCCCAGCCGGGCGCTCTCCAAGTCAAACGCGTCCACCTCCCTCTTCTGACGATCCAGCATGAACTTGATCCTCTCTGTGCACTCATTCTTCAACGAAGCCAGTTCGTCCTCGATCTGCGAACGCAATGCCCGACGACGACCGTAAGAGCGTTGCCACACATGAGGCGCCAAGAGCCTCCCGCCTCCACGCTGACCAGGCAGCCAAGGCGAGCTTCCGAAATGCACGACGGGCAGTATTCAGTGTGCTCTATGGGATACCGCCATGGTTCATTGTAATGGGAACCACTGAAATATCCGATGAGCTATAGGCGGCAGCCGCAGCAGTTTATTTAACCTGGCGGTGATAGACAGCACGACAGTCTCGCCTGCTGTGGGGACTGACACGTGTTCCCATCGTTACTTTGTTTCATCATTGGACTTTGTACTAAATGTAAAAGGCTTCAACTAAATATTCAATGGAAAATCTGAAAGGACTGTTTCAGATACACATGCAAAACAAAAACTTAAACAATTGTGTATTTTTATTTCTAAGTATGCATTTTAGAAACCTTGCTCCTACAGGGTTAACTATGATGTAATCTTTTTGTTTGAAGCCAGTTGCTGTTAATAACTGAACAGCAGAGGGCACCAGAGACCAACAAACAGTGTAGCTGAGTGTAATTGAGCCAAATCATCAAAAGAGGGCAGCATTGGGGGGCCTTATTGAAGCTAAAAGATTAACTAGTGCTTCAGCCCTTGTCCTGGGGAACCTCAGCCCAGCAAGATAGCGTTCCCTATAATACTGAACTGACCGCCTTTTCCAAGTCATGCAGCCTATGAAACTCCGTGATCTTAGCGGGACGCTCACCTTTTGTTCGAGGTGGGCCCTTCGCAGTGACACCTTCTGCTCCAGCTTCTGCAGCTCACGCTCGTGCTGCGCCTCCGTCTGCATCTTGATCTTGCTCTGGTAGGCGCTGAGCAGCTCCATCTCTTGCTGGAGCTGGTGCCTCAGGGCTTGGCACTCCGCCTCCTGGGCCTCATCCAGCCGCAGCTGTGCCAGTCGAGACGGGACGGGGAGAGAAAGGACGGAGGGAACGGAGGATTAGAGGGCGGGGCTCGGGTCGTCGCCGGACGAATCGCCACGGCTCCATCACTGAATGCTAATTAAGCCCAAGCACATGCTAACAACAGGAAGGAGTATTCAACTCACTGGGGTATTAACACAGCCACTGAAAGCAGTGAAGGGCGAAACGACATCAACACCCACAACTGGTCAGTTACTGACTGGTTAACTGATTACTAGGCAGTGACTGGCCACGCATGTCAATCCACCCACAGAGGGACTCAGAGCCCTAATGAAGCCACTGAATACACTGCGGCCACCAGGGGGCGGAGGTGTGCAGACTCACTGCCTGGGAGGCCATCATCTCGTTGATGGTCTGTTCGTACTGCTCGGCCAGGATGGCCAACTTGCGCGTCTGCTCGTCCTTCAGCATCTTCAGGATGACCTTGTGCTCGCTTTTGGGGGTGACCTCCAGCTGATGGTTCCTCAGTGCTTTGTACTGCTTGGTCTGCACTTTGCATGTGTCCTGGAACTGCTTCTTAATCTGCAGCTCCATGGCCTGGTCAGAAGGAGAGCAGCAGAGAACAAAGCCCCTATTTAGTTTGAGATTGTGTTTTCCTCTGCCCTTTGGGACAGAGACCCTCACCATCTTGACTCAAGGGACTCTGCACCAATCACAACAACTTAGTGACTGAACATCACTGTCCTAGCCTTCTATGCTACATAACAGAAACCTTTCTAGATTTACTCAAGAGTAAACACAAACAAAATCCAAAAAATGTCAGGGAAATTCTGAAATGACACCCCCAGTCTTCTGTTGGATTTAAAGAAGCCAATTTTGCTTACATGTTTGCCATTAGTATTTGGTTATATGCACCTAAAAGTAGTATCTAGGCTGTTAATAGGTTCACACTGCTAGCATTAGTGTCTGAAATACTACCGTACAGTATGTGGGCCAGCATGAGGAACACAGGGCTGTGGAGGAGATGATTTCAGAACATTCCTTCATATTTTTCCTTAATTAGTCCAAGGTCTGTACTATCATGCTTCAAAGTCAGCTGTAATTTTGAACACGTCATAATGCAGACGTAAACTGACTCACCGTATGAGCATTATGACCTACGTGAGTCAGCTGGTGCCAAATACTATAATGTCATTTGGCACAACTTCCATAACAATTGTTAACTCGTTCCAGAGAGGCCTGTGTGCAGTTCTAATTTCAACCAATTCCCACAGCTTAATCACTCCCTCTAGTTTTCATTTCCTGCAATATATAAAACTTGATCAACTTTAAAAGGGAAATTTCTTATGTAATTTTTAGCACAGATACTGCATATTTACCAAGAGAGCCTAATTGCCAATGATTATTCATGGGGGGAATGCACAAGAAGATAGAGACCCCAGTTACGTAATGTTGAAAAATTAGTTCCACTGGAATTTAATGCAATATTAAACTTCAAAATTAAATCTTTGAAGAAAGCTGCTTTCATCAAAGTACAAACCCACATGATGGTGGTTCGTAAATACAGGGTTCTGGGATGACGATGGGGCACTTCTGGGTTTCTGTGAGAGGGGTTCCTAAATACAACATCAGTGGGGCACCAAAAGGGAACCTCCACTTCGGGTCAGTGAGACAGCGATTGGGGCACCATCAGAGAACCTCTACACTGGGTCAGTGGGACAGTGATCGGGGCACCATCAGAGAACCTCTACACTGGGTCAGTTGGACAGTGATCGGGGCACCATCAGAGAACCTCTACACTGGGTCAGTTGGACAGTGATTGGGGCACCATCAG